TACTCCTCGGTCCAGTACCTGTTATGGACCACTGCTACCATTGCCGTCTCAGGAGGTAGAGCCTCCAGCACTTCTTTCACGAGCTCCTCAGTGTTCACGCCCAAAAAGTCTACCTCCTTTGTGGGGCGGGCCCTTTTTCTTCTCGACTGCCCTGGTACTTGAGTTATTGGAACAGCTGAAAGTGGAGCTTCAGTTGGGGCACCAGAGGTGGCAAGGACAACCACGAAGGGTTCAACAACTTTCTCCCTTAGGGCCACCCCGGTTGGAATTGTTGTCTGCCTCAGGGTTGGGGCTGGCCTCGCCACGATGGGCCACTTTGAAGAGCTCCCAGCCTTCTTGCCCTTCCTCAGTAGATTCGCCTCAGGGTCTTCTTCAACCTCCTCATTTGTCGGAGGCTGAAGCATCTTACTGGCATCAACTAGATCCTCCATTTGCTTCTTCTAGGCAGATGAGGTGGTCTTCAAGGCTTTTGCCTCGCCCATCATCTTCTGAATTATTTTGAAATTGGGCCTCAAAGGCATCTTCTTGTTGAAGTTATCTGCAAGGAAATAAGAAAATTATTACAAGTATGAAGAGGTCGGAAAACCCACGCGACATGGCCACTTCGTAAAATCTACCTTGAGAAGCCATCAGGTCGTGTGTTATGAAATGAATATTCTTCCTAATCAGCTTGTGGTATAACCTCTTCTTCAGGGACAGCTGCAGATTATGTCAAAGTTGTCGGTGGATATCTCACACCAAAGAAGGGTACTTTCAAAAAGCAAACAAAGAGCAGTTACGATACCAAAAAAGGATAAACAAAAATGCAAAGCAACAGTATTCACTGAGTGTGGAATACCTCATGGGGACCGTAAGAGGCACCAAGAGGTTCCGTCCATTGTGTCCCATCTCCCAGTAGCCCATTACCATGAGCTCTTCCATTCTTTAATGAAGCTCGATAGATCGAGCACGAATGGAGTATGGAAACCCTATGAAGTCAGATAATGCCACCCCTAGTCTTGTCTCCCTCAGCTGCTACCTTAGGGATGTATAGGGTCTGAAAAGCTGAGAAGGACATCTCTACCCTGAGTAATACCTCCTTCCATAACATCCAGGACCTCACCATTTGGCTCCAGGAGTACAGGTTCAGTTGGATCGAGGCTAACCAATACGACCTCAGCACTAGCCTAAAGAAAGGATGGAGGGGGAGACTAAGTCCAGCCCTGAAAAGTGCCTCACTCACGGCCACCCACCTCGGCCTAGGATAACAGGCCCTCTCATCAGGCTCCAGTTATATTAGTCCTATACTATCGGGTATCCTATATTCAGCCTTAAGTTTACCCAGATTGGCCTCCTTCAATTTCAACGGATAATCTGAACCCCCAAGTGTTCTGATGTATCTACCGAGCTGTCAGGCCTTCTCCAAATATTTTTCCTCCTAATATCGCCTTGACGACCTCACTGGGAATCATCAAAATAGGCTCATCTACCTTTACCATCTCTAAATCCCTTCCTGAAGCTCCACTACCATCCGAAGCCATTGCAGAATAGAGAAATGTGAAAAAGTTTGGGAAAATACTCATTGAAACTTAAAAAACTGGGAGACCTACGACCGAAAAAGATCAAAACACAATGTGGTATCGCCAAAAACTGGAAATGTCATCGAAAACGCTTGTAAAACGCCGGAAAACACAAGAATCTTGAGAGGAAATGGATTTTATGATTTCGCAAAAGTGAAAAAGTCCGAAAATGCTCAAGTCCGCCTTTTATAGAGCGTCCCAACTGATTTCCACCATTGAATTCAAATGCAATCAATCTAGGCCGTCCATCACATCATAAATCTAAGCCATTGATATGAAACGCCAGATTTGATCTACGCTCAAGATCTAACCGTGACCCTCACGCTCGCATAAAACGCGTTGCCTCGATCACCATTAGTCATCTACAATAAGTAGCCACAGCAGCCTTTTTTGGGAATGGACATCGCACCCAGCTGTGGTCTTGAAAATATGCGACAGCTGTCAAATTATTTGACGTAAAAAATGTTCGCCTTAGATCAAAATCCCTACTCAGCTTTAGAAAACTGAGACGCACCTGACGCGAAGTCCCCTGTGGGTCATCGCCTCGGTGGCTGCGTTTCCTCCTAAACTTTACAGAGCTTTAGCCATCTCTCAACGCGTCGTCCCTTGTGGGTCATCGTACCAGTGGCAGATGAGCTCCTCACTCAGGTTTACAAAGCTTAGACGTACCTGACACGAAGTCCCCTGTGGGTCATCGCTTCGGTGGCTATGTTCCCTTTTAAGCTTTACAAAGCTTTAGCCATCTCCCAACGCGTCGTCCCCAGTGGGTCAATGCACCAGTGCCAGATGAGCTCCTCACTCAACTTTACAAAGTTAGATGCACCTGACGCGGAGTCCCCTGTGGGTCATCGTCTCGGTAACTGCGTTCCCTCCTAAACTTTACAAAATTTTAGCCATCTCCCAACGCATCGTCCCCTGTGGGTCGGCGCACCGGTGACAGATGAGATCCACATCACCTTACAAAGCTTAGACGCTCCTGACGCAGAGTCCCCTGTATGTCATCACTTTGATGGATAGGTTCTTTCTTAAGCTTAAAAACCTTTAGCCGTCTCCCAACGCATCGTCCCTGTGGGTCAATGCATCGATGACGGATGAGCTCCTTCCTTAGGCAACACTGAAGCTTCGGCGCCTCAGTCGAAGATGTGTCCCGACCTTCAGCTTCACAAGCTTCAGCATCTCCCACACGTCGTCTCTGTAGGTCAGCGCCTCAGTCAAAGATGTATCCCGATCCTATGCTTCATAAGACTTTGGCTTTTTCCCAATGCGTCGTTCCCTAAGGCCAGCGCCTCGGGAGAAGATGAGAACCTACCCACATCTCTTCGGTGAACAAAAAAAATCGATCCACAAGCTTTCGGGCTATCTACACACTTTGAGCTTCCACGCTAGTTCTCTATCACAAACCAAGGCATGCATACTCGATCGGGAAAACAAGTCCACCCATGATATAAATATTCATGCCTGAACTTGGGAGGACCACTGTTACGCCCCTATCTGAACCACTTTGGAAAGCCTACCACTGCATCATACGAGGTGTCCACCACCAATCCGAAGTGGTTCTGAAGGGACTCCACCACCAATGCCCGTGCGCTCCTAATGCGCTATGAGGCACAAAACAATTCTACTGAACCGACCAAAGTGTCCTTGACGTCGAAGCCCAATGCACTCCGAGGTTCTTCTTTAGTAGATCTGCCGCCACTTTCAGAAAGAGATCTGCGTCAAGATCCTCTTTGCCCCCAGGGCTTAATTGATTTGACGCCTCCATAGGTCTAGTTGATGTGATGTATCAACTTTATGTCAACTCAACTTAGGAGAAGTTATTTCCCGTCTACTCTATAGATGCGGCTGAGTGACGTCTATGAGCAGATGTCTCACAGCATCAGATGCATACATGTGTCCCACATCCAACGGTTCTCCTCACCTATAAATACCCAAGGTTTGACAAGAGGTAAACGTAATAAAACTCTTACAACTTAGCTTTCCATAATAAGAAAATATATATTCTCCTCCCCACTCTCCTACACAACTCAGGCATTGTTCCGATCACCAGATACTAACTTGACCGTCGAAGTGTATGCGGCCGCTACCACCCCCGCTGGTTCCGGCCATGTGTGTCTGACCATGGTTGATTGTGTGCAGGGAGGATAATGTGGAGTAGCTATCGGTTGGCCACATAGGAGGTCAAATTCGCGAGGTCAACACCATAAAATTATAAAAAGGAATACTCATCAAGCTAGAGCACACTTTCATCCAATATTGCATATGAGGAATCATTTTTGACCCATAAGTCGGTTGGGAAAGTTAACAATGATTTTCTTTCCTGTTGTAAGTGATTCTAAACGAATAAGCACGAGGATCATTTTTGTTTTCGATTATTATCCAACAAGTGCAGATCATGAACAAGTAATATAATAATGAGCGTCGAATCCATGTATAGATGACAAACAAACTTGTTAAACCCAATACCCATGGTCAACATCTATTTTTTATCCTTCAACTTCTAATTTCCTTCTATCTTTCTTTCTATCTTTTATTTTTTTATTCTTTTTAAAATTTTTTTGCCATTTTGGTACCTAGTGTTCTCAAAGTGTCCGTTACAGTAATATTCCAATTAAACGTTCAATTTTTGCAATCAAGTCCTCGGACTTCATGGAAATTATGCAATTCCGTCCTTTTGTACAATTTAAACTCCAATATTGCTTGATTCAAATCTAAGTTGAGATTTTCGTCTAGAAAAAACAATATATACACTGAGTAGAAATTTGCCTAAATAATTATATATCAAGTAAATTTATGTGTCTAGATAAATATGTAAAACAGTTACTAGTTCCCTCCTAATTCTCATAAAACCTTCGTGGAGGATCTTGCAGTAGGAAGTAGCATCATGTTATCATGATGCATTACAAGAAAAAAATGGCTTTTGCAACATGTAAAAAGCAACATTCATCAATTGCGTGTTGCTAAAAGGGGTCAATTGCAACATTCAGCAAGCGTATGTTGCCATTAGTTGACTAAATTAAGATTTAACATATTTTTAATGAATGTTGCTAAAACACACTTTTCCAACGTTCACAGACCGTTTTTGTTACTTTTATTTTTTTTGCAACGAGCAATGCGCGTTGCTGTAGAGTTTCAACAACGTTCAAAAGAATGTTGCTGTTATTAGTTTTAGCAATGTGCAATGAACGTTGCCGAACGTTGCTGTTATTAGTTTTAGCAATGTTCAATGAACGTTGCTGTTAATCAGTTTTACCAACGTTCATGTGAATGTTGTCATTAATCAGTTTTGACAACGTTCATTGTTTTAGTAACGTTTATTGAAGTTACCCTTCGTTGGTATAAAGAAAATAAATAAATAAATAAATAAATTTAAAAAACTCCTTTAAGTTGGAATAGATCTAAACCATAGATTATCAATATCCAATAACAATCGTTATCCTAACATAAAACAAAAGCCTCTCTCAATTAGGACAAGAAACCAGATGGAGCCGACTGCACATCTCTCTCTCTCTCTCTCGTCCCATTTCATCTAATCTCATGTTTCCTCTTCCTCTCCTCTTTCTTTAAGCCTCGATTCTATTTTTTACCATGCTCTCGGTAATGGGTAGGCGCGGAGCAAGAACCAAAGTGCAGAAGCAGCAGAACCTGTGGCGAGTCGCGATGGTCGACGAGCTGAGTGTCAACTGTCGAGTCGTGGGTGCCAATTATTGGGGGTGATGGAGACGGACTGATGGTGTCACGGACCTCATGGTGAGTCGCCGAGTCGATAAGCGCCTTTTAATTTTCGGCCCTGTTTAGTTTTTCTGTTCGGCGTTAGCCCTGTTTTTGTTTTTCTTTTTTTTTTTTTTAAATTATTGTTTTTGTTCTGTGTTGAGTGTTGACAGAAGGAATGGATTATGGTGGATATACACTATTTATTCCAAAAAAGGATTGTGGTAAAAGAAACTTTATTGTTAAAATAATTAATTCATGTAAAGTTGGCGGAATCAATTGCGTTTGGATTCTGAACATATGAATAGATTTATCCCAATTTTACATGAATTATATAAATTTCGTGCATTTCCCACATAGTTTTTGTTGAGGAATCACATTACAACACTGAATTACAAATAATATTAGATTTTCTTGTTGAAACGGAATAGGTTTTATTGAACTTAATTGTTGCCGTTTGACTTATTGATGATCAATTTTCATTATCTTATCTAATTGTACTCATCAAATGAATTAAAGGCTTGGGAGGATTGGCTTAGTAATGAGTAAGTTCTGCGTTTTTCGAATTCTGTAATTATACATTGTAGTCTCTTTTCATTCCCTTTTCTCTTCTTCCAGTATAAGAGCCAAGGTTAAAATAAGAAAAAGGTCACCTTTTAGATCTGCATCTTATGCTCTATAACCAATCATAAGCAACGGTTCTATTTTAGCTCATTTCTTATTGAAAGAGAAATTGCAGAATTAGGAATATTCGAATGCATTTGATAAATAGTGGGTTCTATCGCAGTTGTGCTAAATGCACCAGGTGAACATATATACTTTAATAGATGCTTTGTGACACCTGGAGAATGTGATACCGTTTCCTAATATTTTTCTCTTTTCTTGGTTTATTTTTTTCTTTTGTATACAGCCTTAGCAGTGGTAGTGATATTGGTACTAGTTTTGTACTGTCAAATATAATGGTTACATTGGCGTTTGTTCTATAATTGGATCCTAGACAGTAAGTAAAGGTATTTTTTGTGGTAATTCTATAGAAAGCTATTCATGTACCAAAAGTCATGTCTTCTTGGCCAAGGGATAAAAATAGCTTGTTACGTTATCAAATAGAAAAATAGACTTCGTTGTTTGGAAAGTGTTGGTTCAGGCAAAAACAAAGAAGGAACCTCTATCTTAGGGTTAAATTGTCTATCTAGATTTATTAGTAAGGCCATAAAAAGGAGAAGTAGTTGCAATAGGGAACCTCTCATAGTTGTCAATATGATTTCGTGCATTTCCCACGTACATGAATTAAAATGATGGCAACGACTTTTATAATTTTCGTGACAGCTAAGATATGTTGTAGAGAACAAGACACGTCCACATTAGGAGTTATGCCTCCATTAGGTTTAGATAGAAATCGAATTTTCAGTAGATTTTGATAGAAGTTGATAGAATATAAGGTTGAAAAGTTGTAGGTCCATAATATGTGATTATGTGGTAGCTAGAAAGAATATATTCCCGAGAAAGAATTAACCGGAAGTAGTGTACTCTATCTACACAGACAAAGTATCTCCAATAATTTGACTCTAAAGAATGCACTCTTGAGATGTAATATATGATAACGTTTGATATGAGTTATATGGATAATTGAAAGTGGGCAGTTTGGTCCCTGTCCTTCCTACTTGATTCTAGCATATATTTATTGACACCACATACATAATCTCTTGGTTAAATTTACCGAAGTTCCATCTAGGTCAGAAGGCTTTTAACATAAGTTCCAGAAATGGCAATTCTGAGATTTTTGTGTGTGTTCATGCTCTTATGGTAGCTTGGACGATAGTGCAATCTTCTGGTTGTTGATTATGGAGTTATGATATAAGTCAACTTCTCCTAAACATTTCAGGTGATACCTTTTTCACAATGGATTGAAGAAATAAAGACTCCAAATGCTATTTTGGCGAAGCACCAAGTATCTTCAAGGTGGGAGGCTCTTTCCTATATGAAAGATGCAGGCTAAAAAGAAAGTAATGGGAAGGATTTTTGAGAGCTAGCCAACCCAACGGTTTGAAGACAGCAAGTTGTAAATTATCTTATTTTATACAATGATTTTCTATTTTTTAAGAGGAGTGTAAGATAATGTTTATTTGATGGGCAATATGTAAATAAAAATTTTTCTTCGATTTATTACAACAATGTGTTTTGTCTATTTGGTATGGATTAATAAAATTATATCAAAGTCATGTTGGCCCAAGAAGTCTTTTTTATTTTGTGGTTGATTTGGTAAATTGTTATACAAATAGGAAAAATGCCAAAAATAAAAAATAAAAAATAAAAAAAAATTTAAATGGCCCAACGTTCATTGAACGTTGCAAATGCGATTTTTCTCAACGCTCAATGAACGTTGTGAATGATGGCTTTTGCAACGTTCATTACATTGCCAAAACCCTTATTTGCAACGGTCTTTGAACGTTGCCAAAACTCTTCCCTCTACGGCAACGTCGAAACCCACAACAGACGCTTGAACGTTGCTATAGGTCGTTGGCAACGTTTTTTGACCATTGCAAAAGGTGATTTTTGGTGTAGTGATGGTTCCCAAGCAAATATAAAATTTCTCCAAATTCTGTCAAAATTGGTGTAACATCTTATTTTTCATAATCTAGCTCCAAAATTTCTTCTTATCTCATTTTAAAAATGGCTGACCATCTTAGTCATCATTTGAATCAGCTACGGTATCAAATTTCGGCACCTATTCATATCCCTCGGTCAAACCAACACTTGTTCTCTTATTCAAAAAAAAAAAAAAAGGTTGAACCCAATCTTGAGGGCTTCCACCGCCCCGCCCCTAGAGGTTTGTGAGGGAGGTAAATCACAGGATATGTCCAAGCAGGCCAGAGAACAAGAGCTGTCTGTACATTGCGCCTACAAGGAGTCCAATTCCATATTTCAGGAATCGAATCCCCACACTACGGCTGCCAGCAAGGCCTGAGATAACTTCACTCCTGTCCTTTGCACCACTGGGCTATGCCCGGGGGGGCACTTGTTCTCTTATTCATGATTGAGAGGGGTGAAAGTGATATTGTCATCATCGGAGTTCTTCTCAAATGTCGATTCGTCAATCGACATATATAAACAGTGAGACCATTAAGAAAGAAACAATCTTGCTACACGTTCAGGCTCAAATCCAAATAGGATATGTGTCGACGCATGACTAGACAATTTGAAAAATTAAAACAAAAACTCCCAATTATTTTCTAACACATCAATCTGTCTCTTCATTCCCCCGTTTTTAAGTTTGGACAAATGGCTTTATTCAGTAAAAAAATGGTTAGTCCATCACTTTAATTTGTCCAATTGTTTTTACATTTTTTTTATCTTTATTAATTGTTCAATGTGATGCACCTGTGTGCTAACTCGTTGCATCACATGATTTTCGTCATTTCAATTTCGTGAACAATGATTTAAGTCAAAATTATATTTTGTGAAATCCATAACTTTTCAATCATGCGTCCGATCAACTTTTATTAAAATTTACTAAAATTCTGATTTTTATTTAAACCAAACAAGGACTTATTGTTAAGTTTTAATATATTAAAATAACAAAAACTAAATAAATGACCATAAATAAAATTATAAAAAGGAATAAAATATCTTCATTAGAGGCCCTGCTAGGGATGTCAACGAGTCGAGCCGAAATACAAAGCTTGTGTAAAATTATCTGAGCTTTTTTGCGAGCCCGAGCTGAAAGCTGGGGCCTAACCGAGTCGAGCCGGGTTGATCCGAGCAACTCGTTTTTTCCTATTCCATTTTTTTTTTTTGGGTAGCAGAGTGCTGCCTTGAGAAAAGCAGTAGCTATGTTTATTAAATTTTTTTTATTTGCTCGAGCCCGAGCTGGTAAGCCACACGTGTCGGCTCAGAACTTCAAAATAGGCTCGGTTCGAGCCTTGGCCCGGTTCAACCGAGCCGCCTAGAGCTTTTTCTGGGCTGAACCACGGACGGCCTTAACCGACGAGCCCGATTGACATCCCTAGGGCCTGCATAAGAGGTTATTGATTATGGGCTTAGATTGAGCAAGAAAAAAGTAAGATAGAATTATTTGAGGGACAATTCATAACTAACTCTTGCACATAACTCAAGTATTTGAATATATTTTCTTGTTTGGGAAATGATACTTGTAAACGCTACGGTGTACACTAGTGTTTACATTCCCCTAAAATGGAGGAGGGTGTAAACCATTATGTACGTGAAATATCACCCTTCCTTTTGTTGCCATTTTACCTCTCATTGGAATTTGATTGCTTGCTCGCTCGACCGAGCAGAGTCTGCAAGCAAGGGCCTCTTTGCTTGAGTAGCAATGCTAACTCTTATGAACCAAGTTGATGCCTCATTTCGTTGTCAAATTACTCTATATTTCCTCTGCCATTTGGACAATTCAATCAGAGAACTATATCAGCTATGAACAAAATGTCCCATAATGATATTTTAAGTACAACTCAATTAACTTTCCGGACTTGAGCATAAAGTTTCATTTATTGAGGTCAATACCATTTAGGAGAATATTATTATTTATTTTTCTTAACATCATAAATCCGTTGATTAAAGATTCCATATTAAAATCCCGATCGTACCACTATGTTATTTTTTCTCTTGTTTTAAAGAGTAGTGAACTTTTGTTGCATAGCATTTTATCGGGCAAAATCATAATATTTCATTTTTGTACTTTTTTTACTGGTGATGTCCTCCTAACTTTGTGTTTTTTTTTGGTCCGTTTGATTTTGCTAAATATAGAACTCGGTAAATTTTGATAAACATTGATGAAATATTTGATTGAAAATTTAATAAAAGTCGTGAGATCCTATAAAATGTAAGATTAAAATTAATTGTTGATTTTGACTTATATTTTAATCAACTTATCCAGGTAAACCAAGTGAGGATTGATAAAAACTTCACTCGTGTGTGCCTTGATATAAAACCAAATTACAGGGAGAGCAAGGATGCTAACATACCAATATTTTGCAATTTTAAACTCGAAAATCACACATTAGAGTAAAAGATTTACAATGAGGAGAACTCATCTCAATTCGAATTTGGAAACGATTATTCCTTCTCATTTCAATAAAGAAAACTTCAAACATTTCAACGAAATTAAAACACTGGACTAGAAATCTTAGGCACAAATGAAATCAGAGGGCACTTTCTTCCCACAAGTATTAATAAGAACACTCAATGCAATAGGAGTGTTAAGGTTAATGCCAAGAATGTTTGCTTTCAATGCAGTGCAAAGGCAAATAGCAGCTTCAAGATCCAAAAGTCCACCTAGTACGGAGCAACACGGGTGGTCAGGTGGATTCCCCACTACTGTTCCGATACTTCCATTGAGCAACTGGACACATACATCAAGTTTTAGGGCATCCCTAGGGCAGCTACCCTTGAAAGGGATTGGATTTGGGCTAGGTTTTGGAATTGGTGGAGTTTTACATCCATTGGCAAGAACAAAAAATATAAGGTTAAAGAATAGGAAAAGGGCAACTGACGATGGCTTCTTGGAATCCATTGAACAAAAAATTGGACTACAATGTAGAACCCTAACTGCGTACTATGTTGCTCAACTAAGTTGCAAGGAAACGAGACCACTTGCGAAGAAAATATTATGTTTTTTAAGTGGGAATAAGTAAAGATTTGTTGAAGGGGTATATATAGGGAGAAATGTAAGAAAATGTTGGACAACAAACGATAGGCATGTCAAGTAAGGCTGGCATGGAATTAGAAGAAGATATATTTAATTTTATTTTAAATTAATATAAGAATTGATCATAAGATCCACCAATAGCCAATGCAGTCCCGTCACTGTATTTGGTACAGAATATTGTGTAATTCTCATTCAACCAATGAAACATTCCTCTGAAGTTTGATGAATCTTAACCTAGCCATTGTTTTTTTGAGCCACTAATGTTTTAATTTTTATCATTGTTCATTTTTCTTGTGATATTTTCTTGCTTTCTTTTCCTCTGCTTTCGTTTATCCCTTTTTTTGGCAGCTGTTTTGGTCCATCACTGCAATTCTGAAATTCCATTTTGTTGAGTATGGATATTAACCATATTTGTCCTATACTTGATCAAAATGAGGCAATAAAGGAAGCAGTGAAGAAGGCAAAGGAACAAGGGCAATCTTGCTTCTTGAGCTGCTATTTACCATTGAATGTCTCTATCTCATTTGATATTTTGTTGTTCAATTTGCAGCCAAAGACTCTCAAATAATCACAAAAGACTACTTTTTCAAACAAATTTCTTTCACACTGCCAGCTATAGAAGTAGAAAAAGATATATTTACGATATCAATTGTCATCCAAAGCATTCAACACAAGTCTAAAAGTTTGGATTGTTATCATTGTTGAAAATTACAAGTGATTACAAGTGTTATGATATTGCGACATGTATTATTATGACAAGTAAAATCGTTGCAACGAGAACTGTGTTAATTAATTATTGATCTAAACTCATTATAACTTTTATAGTTACTTTTATTTGAACAAACTATAAACTCAATTGATTTCGTGATTTTCAAACTAAACTGAACCTAGACCAAAATTACGCACATAATTGTCTGGACAAACTTCCATGAATTTAAGCACTAGGACTTTGGCTTCACCAATGTTTATCCATTTTAGTTCAAATATTCACATTATTTACAATATGAATTGGGTTGACGACCGGTATCCCTAAATTATTAAAAAATATCTCGCTAGTAGAATTGAACTAATTTCTATATACGAACTTCGCATCTTTATCAAAGTTACTAACAAGCCAAAATGCATTTTGAACAACTGAACATCCCTTAGCAATCACATAGACCATAGCGATATATCCCTTTCACCATTTAAAATTTATATTATTTATTATTTGAGCTAGAACATATATTTCACCTCTCGTATCGATATGGTTCCTAATTTATTCCAATTATTGGCTAAATAAAATGAAATGAAGAATAATCGACCAGAACTCAATACTTGAAGAATTTAGTTACTCATGGTGGAATACAAAAGTACATAAAATTTGAACGACATCAACCAGATTGGAAAAATTGAAGAAAACGAAGAAATGGTCTTGAATTTTTCAAGCTTGAACTTGAAAATCATTGACTCCTTTCTTCTTCTTCTTCTTCTCCTTCCAAAACCCAAGGTTTTAATT